TCCTAGGGTTTCTTTGAAAAAAAAAAAAAAAAGATAAATTCAACCACCCAGTTCTTAGCTAGAATATAGATTTTAGACTCTACTTAAGGTGTATTATAATTTCATGGATGTGGCTTATATGGTAAATGAAACTACATATTTCTAAATTTAAAAGTAAATTCCATTCCCCTGATGAAATAAAATCTCTTTTCAGAATACATCTGTTCCACCAGCAAATCCTGTTGGTGTTTCCCATGGAATTTGTCTAAATTCCAACCACCTTTACCTCTCCATGATATTTAAAGCTGGCTTTAGTTCTTTCTCAACTCTGTCTTCCACATTAGCTCCTGGCTTCCTTTCCCTCTTTCCTGAAGAGTCTTGTTGTTCTCTTCTTCCTCTCCTCTTCCTTAATTCCTTGCATCCTCTTTTCTCTGTGCCAGCCCTACCAGACATACTATTTTGTTTCTGCCATTTTTTTGACCCTTGGTCCTGTGTCCTCTCATGTGAGTGGACTCTTACATGCCCTCTATTATCCCTTTTTTTCTTTCTTTCTTTCTTTTTTTTTTTTTTTGAGATGGAGTCTTGCTCTCTCACCTAGGCTACAGTGCAGTGGTGCAATCTTGGCTCACTGCAACCTTTGCCTCCTAGGTTCAAGAGATTCTCCTGCCTCAGTCTCCTGAGTAGCTGGGATTAACAGGTGTGCACCACTGTGCTCGGCTAATTTTTGTAGTTTTAGTAGAGACGGGGTTTCACCATATTGTCTAGGCTGGTCTCAAACTCCTGACCTCTGGTGATCTGCCCACCCGAGCCTCCTAAAGTGTTGGAATTACAAGTATGAACTACCATGTCCGGCCTCCCTATATTATCTCTACTCTTGATTTTAACATTTCTTACAAAGATATGTATCATACTGAAGTACACTGTTTATTAACAGCAATACTGTAATAATGATAGTTGGAAAATTTTCACAAAAATGTCTGATTTACATTCTAGTAATAAACAGTCCATCTGATCTCTTGAAGAATTTTTAATAGAATACTTGACCTAAACTGTAGTTAATAACAATGTATTTTATACTTGAAAATTGCTGAGAGAGTAGATTTTAAGTGTTCTCACTACAAAAAATGATAAATCTGTGAGGTATAATGCATTTGTTAATTAGCCTGATTTAACCATTTCACAATGTATACATATTTCAAAACAATCTTTTAACATCACATGTATATACAAGTTTATTTGACAATTAAAAATAAATTTAAAGAAGATAATAATTTAGTTAGCGCATTCTTTGAACTGGGCCAATTTCTTTTTTTCTTTCCTTTTTTTTCCTTTCTAGAGCCAGGGTCTCATCCTGTCGCCCAGGCTGGAGTGCAATGGCATAATCATAGCTCACTGTAGCCTTGACCTCTCTGGCTCAAGTGATTCTTCTACCTCAGCCTCCCAAGAAGCTGGGACTACAGACTCATACCACCACACTGCGCTAATTTTTATTTTCTGTAGAGATGGAAGTCTCTCTGTGTTGCCTAGGCTGCTTTTGAACTCTTGGACTCAAGTGATCCTCCTGCCTCAGCCTCCCAAAATGCTGGGTTACAGGTGACAGCCACCACACCTTGCCTCTTCTTTTAAATTAATGATTTTTATTACTTCATTAAAGATTTCTTAAACGAAACATTTTTTATGCCACTGACTTGATTCATACTAAACTGCTAGCATTGTTTTTGTGCCATCAATACAAATGTCAATACAGCCCTGGGGAAAGGCAAATCCTGTTTGTTTTATCATAAGGAATAGTTCTGATTTCTCAGACTACCCACAATGGTCGTGGGGGTCCCTAGAATACCATGAACCCCAACTTGAGAACTACCATTTTAATTTGCAAAGGTATTCCATAAAACCATATTATTTCTTCTTATCTAGACATTTTATAGATGAGGATGGAGCACTAAGGGACATTTCAACACTTAGTATATATTAGGAACTTAAAATTTGTCTTTGTGTTATCAGTGAGTAAACTAGACATACCTAAAATCCAGGTCCCCTGATATCTGGTCCTGTCTTCCTTTTATTAAAGATTTATTTATTTTTCTAGGTTTGGATGGACATAGGGAACCTGTAGCAATGTAAAGGAGGAACATCTAACTGTCTAACCTCCACACTGTGCCACAGCTCCATCAATTTGCATGGCGGTGAGTGACATTAGTTACCCTGACTTGTTACACTACAAAACTTTGTGGGAGTCATTTCAGACACTGGATTTAATATACGTAGATGATACTTTCAGAAATAACATTTTTTAAACTTGAAGCTGGCCTCCCCGTCATCTCCCTGTGTGAACAGGCCAACTCTCCTAAAAAAGGAGCTCTTGTAGTTTTAAGTGAAGAAATGTAACTCCACAAAGAAAGCAGGGTGCGGGAGTGAAATGACCAGCCACGCAGCAGACTCAATACAAACTGGTTGAGGACAAACAGTGTAACTATTACAGAAGTGGTTTCTTTTTTTCTTTTTCTTTTTTACCTTTAAGCTCTGTTGGATTGAGAAGGCATGGTTTCTTTGCTTGAAATGGGTCCATGTCTTAACAGTTGTTTGCAGCTCACTCACCGGTGCATTTCCTTTTTTTCTTTATTATGTATTCAACAAGCATCTGCCTACACTTTCTATGTGCCAAGTGCTGGGCTGTGTTCTAGCTACACAGCTGGGATTCCAGCCACTCATGGAGTTTCAGTGAGTGAAGTCAGGAGAAGACTGGTAGGGAAAAAATATCAAACAAACACATATATAATAGATGCTGTGACAGATTTCTGTTACAGAGAATTGCAAGACGGACCTACTGAAAGGTGAGAGGAGTGAAAAACATTACAGACGAGAAGCTGCAAGTATATTCAAGGAACTGAGAGACAGACCATGTGGCTGAACAAGTAAACAAAAGGGCCAGTGGTATTAAACAAGGTTAGAAGGTAGGCAGGGGCCAGATAATGCAAGAGCTTGCAGGAGTTTTATTCCATTCTAAGTACAAAAGAAGTTTATTCCATTCTAAGTACAAAAGAAAGGCACAGTGGGGGACTGGGGACATGGAGGGAGGTGGGTGTGGTGCATGACCTTGTTGATGTTGTAGAAATACTTAGGTTACTGGATGAAGAATAAATTGGAAGGGGTTCTAGAGTGGAAGCCAGGAGACCAGTGAGGAAGCTGTTGCTTTTAGAGAAACTGAGGATCCTTGAAAAAAAAATATAATCAACGATAGAAACTTCCTGTTCAAATATGTCCAGGCCCTGGGGAAGGAGAAGTTTCTTCCTATTACTTATTATTGTGTGGTGCTATGTTATGTTAATTAATTCATATAATTTCTGATCTGTTCAGTGTCTGTCTCTCCTCTTAGAAGGTAAGCTTAGGGCAGAAATGGTGCTTTGTTCACTCCTATCCCCAGGACAAAACCATGTCTGCCACATGGATTCTCAATAAACATTTGCTGAATGAATGAACGAATGAATGAATGGAATGAAAAGGGTAAAAAAGAACACTTGACTTGGAAAATGTATGCACATGCACCAATGGAAACAGATACTTACTTCTAAGAAGTTGTGATGGTCTCAAACTGCAGATAATTTTGTCCATGTGTTCCTCCTGTTCTATTTTCTAGAGCTGTTTTTGACATTAACAATCTTAGCACCTGATTACTTGAGTACCAATGGGATACCATGCCTCTCAAAATAACATTAATTGGTTTCTAGGCATAGATTTGAGAGGAATGGATGATTGCTATTTTTCCACAGGAAAGAAAGAAAATGGCCTTTCATGGAAACCCCAAACATGCTATTTCCCCAACAGGTGATGGTAATTTGGAGCATCCTCCTTTATACAGGCTACCCTGAGCTCATTAAAACCCCCAAAAAGGCCTATGAAACTCTAGCTCATCCAATCTCCCAGGGAGAAAAAGGGACCCAGGCCAGATTCTTTCTTCTTCATCCTACCAGTTCACCCTGAAAAGCCCAAATCTAGTTTGATTCATGCTTAGCCAAGGAGACCTAGTAGGAATCCGTGGCTTTTTTTTTCTGCTCTGCAAGGTCTTCCTACTACCTGTCCCCTCCTGCGTGATTATATTTGAAATCTCTTTCACAAAGGATTTTAAATATTAAAGAAAGCTAATCATGCAACTCTTTGCCTGACATATTTTTGTGTAAATGACTTTCAATTAAAATGCAATCACTCAGTCACCAGGTTTAAAGGACTGATACAGATTTGGTTAGTGTTTCATGAAAGGGAGACTAGTCGAGAGAACAGAAGGGCATTGTGCAGGCATCACTATGGGAGAAAAAGGTTGGTGAAGGAAGAGGCAGGAGACCCACTGCAAACTTCTCAATTTTGCTTAAGGCGGGTCCTGTTTATCTTCAACTGGGTGGAAACAAATAAAAAATTGTGAACCTGGCATTTGTGTTGTGCAGCTGCAAACCCAGGAGCTTTGTCTCCTGTGATTTATGAAAATGTGCTACTTTTGTTCTTTTCATGTGTGCTTGACTTCATACAAAGGAGCATTTTCCCCTGAAGATTCGTTAATGAAAGTTACACCATAGTCTTAAAAGGAAGTCAGATGGGATGTTTAATTATTTACAATTGAAAATATAGAACATGTGCCTGGTCTGCACAGCCGAAGATATAATTAGAAGTTGCTAGAGAGAGAACAGGGCGAGGGTGTGCAGACATTTCAAATATTAAAAAGAAAATTCCCCCCAAATTGCTCACAAATGTGAGGGATTAGTCAACATACTTGGGGCTCTCTGAAACTTTTTGACAGCCCATAATTTCTTCGTGATTGAGTAGTTGCAAGCTAAAAAATTGCTTTCCTTCTCAATGCCATTTTGTTAGACATTTTTAATGAAGTAGCAAATTTGTGGCTCAACAGGAAAAGCTCACTGACAGCATATTAGAATTTATAAGCCCAGCCGACATATCTAGTTACTTCGTTTTTAGGTTACCGCACCTGTGTAACGTCCATGTATTGGCAGATACATTACTAACGCAAATACCTTGGCAGACACCTGCATGCTGTTTTCTTGCATGTTCATAATGGCTTCAGAAATCTTGACATCTATCGGGTCCATGACCGATTCAATGTTGAATGGCCCCTCCAGTCGCTCTGCCACCAAGAGCATTGCATCTGTTAAAATACAGAAACATGATTTATTTGTGAACTGGGAGCTCCAGGTTCCCAACCTGTGTTTAAACATTGTTAAAACAACTGGATGAAAAATAACCGTGCATTCACGTTTTAAAATTTGCTTTCATTATAGTACAGAATGAAATAGATGACTGAATCTTAATGATTGTATTTTGTTTGAAGATTCAAAATTATTTTATATGTCTAGAACCAGGGCTGAAAATAAGGAAATTAGTCCAAATGCAGAATGTTAAATATATCTAATGATTCCACATGAAGTAAAAAGAGTATTAGGTCAGGGATCAGCTGCATTTAGAAAAGGAGGTCTCACCTATCTTCTTCTGGAGTCTGGGGAAAACTGAGAATATGAGGGAAGACGTGCTGATTTGTGAATTTGGATGCACAAAAGTCAAGACCCAATTGAAGCATATCTACCTGTGTGAAGCATTTCTGGGTCTCTCAAGATGTATAGATCTGTCTGGATGTGATCACACTACTCAGCATTCCTTTCAGCATTTGCACTTTGACATCTTTTGGGGGACAGGGGAGCTTCTCTGATTTGGTTTTGTATATTCAAGGCCTATTATGGTACCCACCACATTATAAGCTCTCAAAAAAGTTGATGAAATTACACTGAACTGAAATGAATGCAGTATTGCTTGGAAATATTTAGTTTTCTGTTGAAGACATCAGCTATATTCAAAGTCTGAAAGCTACTGTGGCCTGGGGGAAAAAGGAAAAGTTTTTGGGTTGGATCATAAGGACTTAACATAGAGTCACAGTTCAAAGTTATGGGGTTGAAATCATCTCTGAGCAGGTTCTCTTCTTGTTTAAATTAAAACACTCTCTCCGTTAGTAGAACTTATCTTCTATAGGTAAGGTGAGAAGCTGTTTGATTTGTATCATAAAGTGGGGAAGTTTCCCTTTGGTGATTTCAATGTTTCTGTTCCACACTGAACCCTGACCATGGTACTAGACTTGCAGGTTCTGAGGCCTGCAAACTCATCTCCCCCAGCCACAATAAAAGTGCTGAAGTTAACCCTTTCCTAAGCAGGTGCCTTCTTGGCCTTGGGAAAAGGCAATCCTATTGATGACCCAGCACTCTTCAACATAAAACTAAATGGCCCCATTTGCCCAAACTACCAGTTCCTATATTTCTATTCATTATCTCAATTCATTTGCCTTGTTATATAAACTAAGATAATACATTTTTGATATAAGTAGGCCCTATTTATTTTTCTTTTAATGTAGACCACCAGTCAGAATATGCTGCTTTATGTTGTTTCTTATCTGGTTTATGCCATTACTAATTTTTAAAAAACACAATATAAGTAAAAACATGAAATAAAATTAGATTCTCCTTTGAGGACTCCAAAGCCAGTATACATTGGCTCAAAACTTCAGGATCATCCTTAGTGAGACCTTTTGCAAACTTAAAAATTTGCTAAGGGTAGATTTCATGTTTTTTTAAATTACCCACAATAATAAGAACACTAATGACTATTATATTGATTAATTTCAGTAGTTCTTACTAATCAAAATACCTGTTGATAAATCATTAACTAGTGTGAATGTATGCAAATACATTGAAATACTGGATTCCTTTTACTAAAAAACACATAAATTATTCAAATTATTAGAAAAGCTCAGAGAAAATGTATGTGAAACAGCTAGATAAAATAATGTGGATGCACTGACTATAATGATACATAGGTTTTTGTGAAGAATAGGAGGAAGACTGACAAAGGGCATCAATAGTGTGTTTTTGGGCTTATATTTTTCTGATGACAGAGCTGTTTGTGAAAAAAAGCTACCTGATAGAAGGCCAGAGAAATCTACACAAATAACATGATGTCTAAAAGAAGAAAAAAATTTAAAAAGCAAACATATGTGTATTCTCATGATATAATCACCCCCATCCCCAGTTCCCTATTTTGTTCTAAATATTCATGACATGCAAGGAAAAGCAGCTTTTCAGAAAACTCCTCCAATATTTTTCGAGGTCACTGTAAACGGTCAGGTTCATAGCTACTGCCTGTAGAGGCCAAGTTCAAACACATGATGAGGTGACAAAGCAGTGGAAGGTCAGAGCTGTCGGCCCTGGGACTTGGAAAAGGCCTCAAAATGAATGGTGGCTCTTCTTTGACCCCAGGCCCCAGGCGGAGACAGGGTCTGCATGGCCCACTGAGCAGCCGCGTGCATCTGTGCTTGACTGCTTTGCTTCCCACCCGCCAGGCAAGCCTGTCATCATCAGTCAAGCTCCCTGGAGGAGAACTTCCTTCCCACCTTGGGGCTGAGGAAAGCCATGCCTTAGGACATGACACCTCAGCCTCTCTCTCAGCTCAAAGTGAAGAAAACACAAAATAACTTGGTGACATCAAGGCAGTAGTTGGTAAGCTTCTCTGAAACCAGTTAAGTCACAACATAGCATAACTTACTCCAGAGGCTGCCATCCTGGGCTGTCTTAATTATCTCTGTGCCACTTATATTTTGAAATATTGGGAACATTATTTTTAACTCTGCTCTTGGAGCTGTTTTCTCTTGTCAATTAAATCAGGACACTTACAGTATGTCAGCTAAAGATCAGCAGATCCTTTCTGCTTACATCTCCTGTGTTGCCCATTTTGTTTCTCCTTAAAGAAGACTGTTGCCTCCCTAAAGCAGTATGTAATTTTTATCTGGAGAATAAAATTTAGATATATTAGAAATAACTGATATATCAGCATGAAGTGTGGATGTACATAGAGAGACACTGTGTGTTAGCATAGGTTGGTGGGGGCCATGTAGCAGCTCCACCAGAGGTGCCCAACCAAAGGCAAGGAGCCAGGATGTGGGTAAAGCTGCGCCTCTGGGCCAAGGCCCTCTACTTGTGTAAGCATGGGGTTTCTGGTTAGGAATGAAGACTGTGGAGTCAGGTGCCCAGGTTTCAATCTAGACTCCTCCACTAAATGGCTGGGAGATAATGTACAAGTCATTTAGTTCACAAAGTCCCATTTTCTTAATCTATGCAACAGAGATTATGACAATATATGCCTCATAGTGGTGGTAGGCACAATGAAATGAGATCATGCTTGTAAAGTTATTCAGCACAATGACCAGCACAAAATTAGCTCCTAACAAAGCTTAGCTTTTGTAAGTCACCACCTCCAGGCACTGTAAGGGGAAAGGAAAGGACCAATTTGCAAGATATTTTGGTGGAAGTATTGACAGCAATTGCTATGAGGAATAAGGGAGTAAAAGGCACATGGATGACTTTAAGATGCATAGCTGGTGCTCTTTTGCATGTTAAATTAATCTTTTGATAATAGCTGCCTTTTGATGGATGAGTTCATTAGCGAAAGATACAAAGCTGCATTATTTTCTCATGATGTGCTTCTTTGCCAATTAAAGATGACTGCAATATCTATGACACTCTTTTCACTGAGAGGTGGGGTTTATGTCCTGTCCTCTGAATCTGGATTGGCTCAGTGACTCCTATGACTGACAGCATGTGGTTGAAGTGACACTCTGCCAGTTTCCAGCGCTAGTATTTAAGAGACCACTTTCTGTCTCTTACAAGACTCTACTCTGAGATCACAGTGCTGGAGGGGGCATGTGTAGGGATTCCAGATGACAGTCCCAGTTGAGCCTAGATCTCCATCTGCCCTTGCCAAGGTGCCAGACATATGAGCAAAGCCATCTTGAACCTTCCAGACCAGACCATCTGCCAGCTGATTACCACTTGGTGACCCAGTCAACACCACATGGAGCAGAATAATCAACTAGTTGAGCCTTGCCTGAATATCTGGTCCACAGTGATATGGTTTGGCTGTGTCCCCACCCAAATCTCATCTTGAATTGTAGTTTCCATAAACTCCATGTGTCGTGGGAGAGCTCTAGTGGGATATAAATGAATTGTGGGGGCAGTTATGCTGTCCTCATGACAGTGGGTGAGTTCTCATGAGATCTGATGGTTTTATAAGGGAGTTTTCCTCCCCTTTGCTCATACTTCTCCTTACTGGTGCCATGTGAAGAAGGGACATGTTTGCTTCCCATTCTGCCATGATTGTAAGTTTCCTGAGGCCTCCCCAGCCATGCAGAACTGTGAATCAATCAAATCTCTTTCCTTTATAAGTCACCCAGTCTCAAGCAGTTCTTTATAGCAGTATGAGAATGGACTAATACACACAGTACACTGATTTATAATAGTAGGATTGTTATTTTAACCTGCTAAATTTGAGGATAATCTGTTTTGTGGCAAGAGAAAACTGGAACAGCCAAATGATAATATTTATAAACTACTCAGATAATTTCCCCTTTTTGTTTGACAGGACCTAAATGTTCAGAATTTTAGTCAATTAATATTTAACAGATTTAGCATTTATGATGTCTCCTCTGATTACAAACATTGGGATGGTCAAGAAAATATAAAATGTTGTCCAGAAAGGAACGGAGAATTTGCTCTAATTTCTACAAGGCATTATGGTACACCAAAGGCACATCAGCTAGCCTCAGGTGAGGAACCATGTCTCCCTTGGAATGTGAGAGAGATACAGAGTAGGTTTGGAAGAAGGAAACAACTCTGATTTTTGTCTAAGTATTGACTTCATGAAGAGTGAAGTTTCTTGACACAGGGAGGTAGCCATTATCTGCTATGTCTGGATGGCATTGGATTAAAAACTATCTTACTGCTGTTTTTGGTAAGGAGATTCCTAAATGTTTATGTTCCCTTAGAATATAAATCTTAAGTGTGACTCAATATGACTATATATACACTTTCAATTTGCTTCTTGAGAAAAAGAGACATAAAATCAGAAATGGCTTTCCTGAATGCCACTGACTTTAACCTAGAACATATTGATTTTCAAAGTGTTTTAGACAAAGCAAGAAGATAAACTCATTTTTTAAGAATGATACGATATTCAATGAGAACACATGGACACAGGGAGGAGAACACACACTGGAGCCTGTCGAGCGGTGAGAGGGAAGGGGAGGGAGAGCATTAGGACAAATACCTAACG